TTTTTTTTGTCTTCTCCTCATTGGGGAACAGCCATATATTTTTTTCTCTCACCTCACATATCTTTTAACTGGCGTATGCCATGTCATGGAACATATCTTTCTTTTCATTACCTACCCACTACTCCTAAGGCTACACAGTGGACCCCTGCAAACATAGCTTTCTACCTCTCTTCGGTGAAGGGAGGTTACCTCTCTTGGTGGTGGAGAGGGGTAACGGCATGTTTGCCCCTTTTGCCCTAGCGTTTAGGGTGCAGGGTTGGGGCCGTCGGTGGGTGCCCGGCTAACACAAGGACCGAGCATTTGCCAGTAACTGTGCCTCACTTTTCATTCCTGAAAATTTCGCTTTCGTATTTTATTGAAAAATACATTCTCGAATTAATTTCGAATCACTTCAAATTCATTTATTCAAAATTAATTCTTGCTCTGCGATTCTCTGCTTCCTTCATTGCTAAATCACTTGTTGACGCTCTACTCTTCTAAATAGGAATTGTCCCCCCCTTCTCCACATGCCACCATGCCAAACCAAGACCTCCCAACGCGCCGCCGCCGCCACCACCGCGGCCGCTATCACATCCTCTGCTACCACCTCCACTGCTCCATCTTCCTCCGCCACCTCGCCTTCGTCCTCTCCAATGGACGAAGGTGCTTCACGCCTCAACATGAGCTCTCTCCGCGACGACTCCATGGCGGACATCCACCGCGAACTCGTTGGCCAACAAGCCATCGGGGAGAACACCCAACCCCCCATCCCTCCTCTCCATCCTTCGGTCCGTATAGGACTCCCTCCGGACACTCTCCACTTCCGTCACTGGCATCTCAAGCCGGTTGACCGCCCTCGAGTCCCAAACCACTACCCCCTCCATCCAAGTGGTCACCACCACCACCCCCACGTCCACAGCCGCCTCCAGCCACACCCCCCCCCCCCCCCCCCCCCCCCCCCCCCCCCCCCCCCCCCCCCCCCCCCCCCCCCCCCCCCCCCCCCCCCCCCCCCCCCCCCCCCACCCCAACGCACACATATATATATATATATATAT